AGGTGACATTAAGGTGACACAGGTGCCGCTCACCCTCCGGCCGCTCGTCGAAGTCCTCGTCCTCCTCCTCGGATCCCACCGAGTACTCGGACTGGTTATCTGGGGACATCCCAGTCCATCCCAGTCCATCCCAGTTCCATCCCAGTCCATCCCAGTTCCATCCCAGTCCATCCCAGTCCATCCCAGTTCCATCCCAGTCCATCCCAGTCCATCCCAGTCCATCCCAGTTCCCTCCCAGTTCCCTCCCAGTCCATCCCAGTCCATCCCAGTCCATCCCAGTCCCTCCCAGTCCATCCCAGTCCATCCCAGTCCCTCCCAGTCCATCCCAGTCCATCCCAGTCCCTCCCAGTCCCTCCCAGTCCGTCCCAGTCTCACCCCTGACCACGTTCACCGGTCTCCGATTTTCCTCCTTGGCCTCAGCGCTGAGAGCGGCCGAGAGCCTGCGGGAACAATTAACGACCAATTAACCGCTTCCTTCATTAGTGACCCGCAATTAAACACCCCGGGGAATTAATGACCCACAATTAAACACCCCTGTTAATTAATGACCCGCAATTAACGACCTCCGTTAATTAATGACCCACATTTAACCCCCCCTGTTAATTAATGACCAGCAATTAACCATACCCATTAATTAACGACCCGCAATTAACCACTCCTGGGTAATTAATTACCCCAAATTAACAACCTGTAGTTAATTAATTACCCCAAATTAATGAGCCCTGGTTAATTAGTGACCCCCAATTAATGACCTGCCATTAATTAATGACCTTCGATTAACCACCCGCGGTTAATTAGTGACCCTCAGTTAGTTAATGACCCCCCAATTAATTATCCCCAATTATCGATCCCAAATTAACGATCCCGGTGCAATTCCCGCCCTTTCCCCCCTCACTTTTCCCGCCTTTTCTCCCTCAGTTTTCCCGCCTTTTTTTCCCCCTCAGTTTTCCCGCCCTTTCTCCCGGTTTCCCCCGCTGTTTTTCCCGCCCTTTCTCCCTCTGTTTTCCCGCCATTTCCCTGCTCAGTTTTCCCGCCCTCTCTCTGGGTTTTCCCGCCCTTTTCCCCTCAGTTTTCCCGCCCTTTCTCCACCACTTTTCCCGCTCTTTCCCCTCAGTTTTCCCGCCTTTTCTCCCTCATTTTCCCGCCCTTTTCCCCTCAGTTTTCCTGCCATTTATCTGTTTTCCCTCCTGTTTTTCCCGCCATTTCTCCAGATTTCCCCGCCCTTTCCCCCTCAGTTTTCCCGCCTTTTCCCCTCAGTTTTCCCGCCTTTTTCTCCCTCAGGTTTCCCGCCCTTTCTCCCGGTTTTCCCCGCTGTTTTTCCCGCCCTTTCCCCCCCTCAGCTTTCCCGCCCTTTTCCCCTCAGTTTTCCCGCCCTTTCTTCTGATTTTCCCGCCGTTTATCCTGGTTTTCCCCTCAGTTTTTCCCGCCCTTTCTCCACATTTTTCCCGCCCTTTCCCCCTCAGTTTTCCCTCCCTTTCTCCTTCAGTTTTCCCGCCCTTTCTGCTTCAGCGTTCCCGCCTTTTCTCCGGATTTTCCCGCCGTTTATCCCGGTTTTCCCCTCGCTTTTCCCGCCCTTTCCCCCTCACTTTTCCCGCCCTTTCCCCCCTCAGCTTTCCCGCCGTTTCTTCCCGCCGTTTTTCCCCGCCGTTCCCCCTCCCTCCCCCCCCGCCATGTCGCGACAGGCCCCTCCCCTTCCCCCCCTCCCCTCACCCGAATATCGCGATCTCGCCGCAGTCGTTGGCGGCCGCCAGGAACCGCCCGCACGGGGCCGCGCTCTGCGCCAGCACCGTCACGTGCAGCAGCTGCCGCGCGCGCCGCACGCCGCCCGCCGTGACGTCACCGCCGCCGCGCCCCGACGTCATCGCCGCCGACACCGGGAGCCGCCGCCGCCGACGGGAAACCGGAGAAGCGGCGGCGCCGATGACGTCAGCGGAAGCGGACGGTGGCGTCGCGGCGCCGATGGCGTCGCTTCCTGCCGCGCGTTGCACGCCGGGAGTTGTGGTCCCGCCCCTTCCCTTTTTTTTACCGGAAGTGCCCGGATGGAGCCGGCGCGAGGCGGCCCCGGGGGGTGAGGGGGGAGCTGGGGGCGGATTTTGGGGTGAATTTGGGGGATTTTGGGGTTTTTGGGGTGAATTTGGGGGATTTTGGGGGGGTTTGGGGGGTGGGGGAGGGGCGGGATCGCTCCTGAACCCCCCCCTTGCCCCTCCCCCCCTCCCCAGGGCTCCCCCCCGGCCTCCCGCGCCCGGCGAGAAACGGAGACCGGAACAGAGCGAGGGGTGAGGGGAACTGGGAGGGACTGGGATGGACTGGGATGGACTGGGAGGGAACTGGGAGGGAACTGGGATGGACTGGGAGGGACTGGGATGGACTGGGATGGACTGGGATGGACTGGGA